ATTTTTACAAAAATACCTGAAATGATTACAATACGCCAACCAGCTATTTACAGACTGAAGCAAAGCACATCATGAAAATCCAATCCCTCTCTCACAAAAAAAGAGAGAAGTTACTGTTTTACTGTTCACATTCCCTGAAATGCATCATAGTTTATAACTTTTTTCCCTCTCATTTTTACAGATTATCTTTCACTGTAAAAGCTGAAGGATACATATGTGGAAAAGCTGATGATAACTTTTAACTCATTCACAAAGAAAAAAGGGTACTAAAACAGAAAAAACAGGATTTTATTCTGAACTTTTACATTTAAAACCAGATTTGAAGGGTGCCAATTCTTTAAAAATGCTTTTATTTACTTTATAAAAAGAGATTTACACCTGATATTTGGTCTAAAGATAAATTACAGCTTATATGTCCATCAACACTGACCTTTCTTCATTTCAGATTTTTGATGAATTAAAGCTAAAAACATTAAAAGACTTATTTGTTTCATCTGATAGTTTTAGATGTTGAGTAGTCTTAACCCGATGTGACACTAAAGGTGACCAATTTAACTTTTAAATTATATTAAAGTGTTATAATCTATCAAATAATTAGAATTTATGTTTCTGATTTTCCTTAAGCATATTGTTTTATCTAATTGCAATGTACATTAACATTTCAGAATTTCAGTAGCAGGGCTCATATACACTTGTAATTCTAATCTAAGTGTTAAAAGTATGTAATGTAGTGGATTTACTCTTTATCTGTATCTACCTTTAAAAATCTGTCACTACAACATTGACATTCTTTTCAGACATTTTAAAAAGGCTTATCGAACCAATTTCAACTATGTACTAATAACTAAGTCCAAAAGGATCGGCTTCTGAAAATAAAATAATAAAAGGAAGCAAAATACAACTGATGTCCTTAACCAGGTGCCATTCTTTTTTCTTTCTTGTTTTTCAGCACATAGGTTAATGTTTATTAAGGCTGCTAGTATGTGCATTTCGGGTTCTTTCTTTTAGAACTTCCAAAACCTTAAATTTTGTTCTCTACTGACTTCACATCTTAGAGGAAAAAGGATAATAAGATATGAAAGATATCTTCTGTCGATTAAGGATAGATTTTTTTGGGATGTGTTATGATGATCAACAAATGTTTCTGTACTTTTACATTTAAGGGTTATAATCAGCTGCTCTATTGTGACACCTAGTGGTTTTTCTTTAAACTCCACATTTTTCAAAGAGTCCCCCCCCCCCCCCCCCCCCCCCCCCCCCTGTCCATCAGTTTCAAAGCATTCATCTTGTCTTCCATTCTGGAGGTTAGCTGACAGTATTATTGTCACTGTGCTTTAAACATGGCATAATAACACTTGCTGTTAAAATCTATACATTAAGATGTGTACTGACAAATTGTCTGGTGGTCAGAATATGCAGGTTTTTAACTTGATCAACCTGGACGCTTCACCAGCCAGTGCAAATCTTTTTGCTTTTAGAATCAATAAGGTGTTTTAAGAGTCGGCAAAAAACGGAGAGACATAAGCTACAAAAAATAAAAATACCCCCAAAAAACAGCTTTTCTGTGATATGCAAAACATGTCAGAAGTGGGTGGTGAAAGAGTGAGAATGAGGTCCTAAACAGAACAGTTATCCGATAGCTCCTAAACTCTATTGTTTGGAAATATTGGGAATCTGTTTTGAATTCTAGATGATATAGCAATACTCTGGGAGAAAAAAGGTTTAAGAGTATAAAAAAATGTGCAGAATTCTAATATACTATATAATAGTAAACCCAACTTTAAATGCATACCCTGTAACAGTTTTCTTTTCTTTTTGTTTTACAGCAGTTTTAGTACCACTAATTTTGCAACCCATCATTATAAATTGGTAAACAAATTTATAAACCCATTATTATTTTGTCTTTGTTAGAAACAATCAGCAGGGCAGGTTTTGTATGATTTCTCCTACACATTGGTGTGACATTCTCCCTGCTCCTATATAAACAATTATTGAACACCTGCAAACAGAAGGCTTAATAATTATACTTAAATTCTGTTTTTATGTCATCCTGTCTTATATTTCTTAGATTAACTGGAGGCTAAAACGAGTATGTGATGGTCCAAAATAAAATGGGAGGAAAATGGCCACAAAATTCTGATTTGTGAATCTCTAATTTTTTTTTTTTTAAGTATTCAAGACAAAAACTAAAAACATCAATTCAGGTAATGTCCTTACAATTACAATAGTCACAATGATTGCATGGTAATGACAAGTGAAAACAGTAGAGAACAGCGCTGAGAAAGAACAAAAATAATCTAAAATTTTCAAGTAATCAGTCACAACCTGATAAATAAATACACATCGCTGCATCAATAAAAACCAGACAAACAAATAATAAAAAAAAAGAAATAAAAATGGCATTGCATCTTAGATAAATTATGACAACCTTACACAGAGGGACAACGTAGTGCTGCGTTTCTGCATCTCAGTTCATAAACAAATCCTTTAACAACCTGCTGGTCAAAAAAAGATGGCTGTCGGTTTACAAACGTACAAGTATTTAAAAAAAAACAAAAGTACCAGCTGTTTAGTTAAACAAGGCAACCAAAAAAAAGCCCTAGACTAAAGAAAACAAATGATAAAAGACTGCTATTAATGAGAGACATTTCACAGCAGGATATTCTAAACATTGGCGGCGGCCTGTGTGAAGTGACAAAAAGGAAAAATAAAAAACAAGAGCTTCAAGCTTATACATTGAGTTTACAGTTAACTGGGTTTTGCCTTTCACTAATTTCCTGTTTATAAAAAGCAAAAATACAACTGCAGCAGTGAAACTCATTAGCTCGAAATAAGCTGGAAAGAAAAAAAAAACACGGTCTTAAACAATTACAAAGGGGAACCAAATGAGCAATCTTTTCAAGAAAACATTTTCAGCGACAACTCCTGCTGTTATACAGACTGATATGAAAATGAAACACAAATAAACAGGCATTACTTGAAAGAATTACATTAGACCCCACTAACATTATCTCAAACAATCCATCTCCTATTAGCGACATTCAAAAGCAGTTTATATACTGTATGATGAATGAATGAATGAGGCAGAGAGGGTTTACAACCTGTGTATTAAATGTATTTCAAATGTGCTTCTGTTTAAATAGATTTTCTTACACCAGCAGCTTCTATAGACTTTTCATTTAATGTAAGAATGACTTGTTTAATATTGTTTGTGTACAGATAAGCCAAAGAGTTAAAAGGCCACTTTACAGAGGACACTACACCATATTTCTAGACAGGCTGTTTTCAGGTGGTAGTTAATCGAGCAAATGAAAAACTGAACAGGGCATGATCTGGTAATAATGATGCTCACAGAATCTATAGAATCCTGCCTGTTTCCTGTCATATGGTGAGGCCCGTTTCACACTGGAATAAGAGTATCTAAACGTCTCCAGGATCTCAGTGCGTTGCCAAATCTTTGAAAATGGATCTGAATCTTGAAGGCAACTGCGGTGCAAAGTACCATGTAGCAGAAAATGTGCCGTTGTTAATAGATCTCGCCTCCGGTAGGTTTGCTGGGGTTATCAAAGCCAAATGTTTTATTTTATATCAGTAATCTATTGTAAAATTAGATAATAAACAACATTCAATTATGCATTGAATGTAATTATTGAGCTACATTGAATAATTACATTATACACAATATAAAGCTATAATTGCACCTTTTCTTCCTCTTATTTTTCTCTCATTCTTATATCTATATATGAAGAAAATGCTTCTCTTTAAAAATCTTATTTTTTTTATTCAGATTTATAAACCTACAACCTCCCAACCCCCTATGTCATAACAAGAACCACATGCACAATTTAGAGATGTGATCTGTACATTTTAGAGATGTGATTGCTTCCCTCCACTCAGCGTTGCTGACCTGAGAGAGTAGCCAGGTTTAAATACCGTAACATAGCTCTGCTAAAAACAGGTGGAGAACTTAAGCCTCCATCAGGTCTTATATGGAAAACATTGGATACCTTTCCAGGAACCTGCTAAGGCCAGTTTTAGTGCTGCATTGCAGTCTTAGTCCAGTGTGAAAGTACAGATGTTTGGGGGAAGTTCCAATGACAGAATTAATTCTCATGTTTCTTCATCTGAAGCTTAAAATGACCCAGTTTAATCAACGGAAAATTTCTATGAATGCAGCCTTCTAAAAAGCAATACAGTCCGAGTCCCAGTCTGCTTATACTAAATACCTGAACTTATAAGATATTCAACAATACAATTAGCTGTCTGTCTGGTTAAAGCTCCTCTGACTGCTGCTGGACACTTTAACCTGAATCACTCAGTTCATCTGTGGATCTTTTTTTTTGTTGATATTTCCAAGCAAAGATCTTTAACGCCCCAATCCAGAATAATAAGCACCAAGTGATCTGTTGTGGCTAATGTGACAAATATAGATCTGCAAACATTCAGATGGTGGGGAGATAAGACATAAAAACTGAATTATTAAAGAAAGAGTAATTGTAAAGAATAAAAACATGTCTAGAAGGGTGAACAGTGCAGATTTAACATTATTATTATTATTATTGCAAAGATTAGGCGGGATCTAATTAGCAGTAAATTTTGAACATTTCCATTCATGCCACTAACATCATAGAGGAGTGGCATCTTATCTGGTTGAGTATTACGCCAGAGGAAATGCCTTGTACAGTTAAAGGCCATATGCACCTGTACTGAGTTAAAAACCAACAGGAAATAAAGTCTCCGTCTGTGGTTTGTACTTTGAAAACGTGTCAATAACAGCTTTCATGACACTGCAGTTTGTTGGAAGGAAACAGAGTGGTCGACACAAAAGCTTTAACTGTCCTGCTGATTGTCCAGGTTCTTTTCTTGAGCTCTGAGAGAAGGCCTCGAGTCCCACAAGCTTATTGATGAGTTTTGTTGGCATCTCATGGAGCGATTTGCAACAGTGACGACACAAAACGGCAGTGTTTATTCCTTTAGTCTTTGTCATTTTTTCTTAAAAGTGAAACCAAAGGAGCGAGTCGTGCACCAGTTTCCATAAGAGGTCCAAGAAAAAAAGGATAAAAATTAGAAAAAATAAAATAAAATCCAGCCAGTCAGCAAACCTCCAGCAGGCTCACAATAGAAAACGACGACAGCGAAACATCAGTCAATTCACCAGCTTCTTGGAAAGGTTAACCATAGAAAGAAGGAGAGATCCTTTCTGCTTTGTCTGATACTTTCAGGCAAATTCAGATCAATTTTTCAGACAGTCACATAGTCTGGAGGTGTCATAAGGCCACAACGGTGCAAGGGTGTTTTAGTTTACAAGGCAGGACCCCTCTGTTGAGCTGGTAGAACTCCACTAGCTGAATCAGGTCTGTGAATTTGGTTACGCCATCATCGAGGCTGAAGAAGACTTGGCCATCCTCTTCACACTGAGTAAATATAAGCCCACAGCATAACACAAGACAAAACACAAGTTAGACTTTTTTCTATAAATAGGAACGGTCATCTAAAATGTGTTACCTGCACAGTAAATTTCTTTATAATTATATCAGAACGATTTTGCAGGAGGAGAAATCACTAAAAAGAATAGCTTACCGGTAGGATCTGAAAATGTTTGATTTTCTGATGATGGCACAACGTGAGTACAAAAGCCTTTGGATTACTCTGACTGACTCTCAGCAGAAACAACCTGCAGAGTAAAATGAAGAAAGGATCTTTGTGAGAAACGGTGTGGAAAAACATACCAGAGAACGTCTCCCTCCTCTCAGTGTAGCTGACTCACCCATCTACCGCTCCCTGCTGGTGGATAATACGATGGGACTCCTCTCTAGTTATCCTGCCATAGAACCACAGCTGAGCGATGTGGATGACTGCGCAGGATGCAAACAGAGTTGGTCAAACAACATTCCAGGGTTAAAAAGAGGAATTTACGCACTGAGAAAGAGAATTACCTGAGCTTAGTGAAGATTGGTGTAAGGGACTTTGGGAACCTAAAGCATTCACTCGATTTCTCTTCTGAAGGAAACGCCGCAGGACAGAAAGCAACAACCATTACTCATTGGAGCAGAGAGCAAATAAAGTTTCTATTTTTTTTTAGAAGGAAATTTGTTTTGCAAAATGTAATAACTGGAAATAAAGGGAGGCAATGTAATGAAATGTTAATTAAATTGGTAAACTAATCTTAAGCTCTTCCCTTCTCAGAGGTTGTATAAAAGGGTTGTGAAATCTCAACTTTTAAATATCAGATAGAAAAATCCAACTACATCCAGTAATCATTGTACTATCTCCTTTAAAAAAAAAAAATGCAACAGTATACAGCATGTAAAAAGATCAGTGATGACTCTCCAGCTTAAGAGAGAGCCGTAACAGGGGAAAAAAAAGTTATTTCCTCACCCGCCACACATGTCCCTCCTCCATGGCAGCACTCTGAGCTTCGACTGGGTTATCAATCACCCGGCCTATCCTCCCTGAGAAATCCATTGCAACAAGGGAGTTTTCCGATACACTCCTCTAGGGGGAGCCAGAGACAGACAGTACATTTAGGAAAATGAATAAATTGATTCCCAAAAGCATAAAGAGTGGAAAAGATTTTAACACAAAATACACAAAATCATAAGTCAGTACAGAAATACAGTTGATAATTAAAAAAATGTATATGATGCATAAAAATAAACAAATCTACATGATTCAAATGTGTAGAAATGCATGCCTAAATACAAGTTTTATATACTGTAACTATATGTTAAAAATCTCAAATTTCAGTATTATTTTAATTATTCTAACAGCTCATGGCTGCAAAAAAACATAAAATACATTCAAGTATTCCCTTGGCTGGTCAAACAGATCTGATTGTAGATTAGTTAACCTGCACACCGAAAATAATCCAGATTAATCTCCTTTAACTAGAGTAGTGTTAATCCCATTGACTTTGCATATCTTCATAAGCTCAATGTGCTTTGATTTAATAAAAGTATCACCAAACAATTTATTAAATCTAAAAATAAAACTTTAAAGTTTTTATTAAATTAATAAAAAATATACGGTATATACATATGTCTGCCATAACCATCAAAATTAAATCAGTCATTAATCAAAGCTAATACTGGATTTTAGGGAGTTTAGACAATTCTGGCTAATAATCTGTTCTTAGTTAGATTAAGAAATTAAAAGTATATCCATTGGCCTATTCATTTTTTTTGGGTTAATTTAATTAACTGTTGCACTTTTTGTCAGTATTTTTTTTTTCATTTTTTAATGCTGTCCGTGTGCCAATAATCTAAGCCTCTAAAACAAGAAAACAGACATATAAACTTAAACTGTACAGTCATATTCAAAAAATGTAAATATTATCAAAAAGCAAATTTATCTTACAGTAGTAACTCACATTGGTCAATATATCATTTGAAAACAGACCTGTTAATGAGGAATTATAGCTTAGTCCAAGTAAAAACAATTTTTAAGATTAGAATTTTATATCAGATCAATAAAGGTGGACAAAAAAATAATTATACTGTAAATAAACAGTATTATCAACATCTGCTTAAAGATTGATATTTTCAACAGATACCGCAGATAAACCCCATTGGTACATAGATTCTACAGAAAGGAACATGACTGTGTGTAGAAAAAACCTACCACAGGAGCTGAAAAGTGTGAAAGCAACGTTTTTCTTTGTTGAGGAACCTTATAGTTCTGGTATAAGACGATCCCATACTGTAAAGAAAAAAAGAGATAAACATGTAAAACAATGCTCCAATGTTGTATTTAAAGGGGATTAGTCATGTTGTATACAGATACCAAAAGGCCAAAAACCATTAAATTAGGATAAAATAAGGTTATATACACCAAGCATCATGTATTCGGAGGACTATTTGATTCTTAACCCCCTTGGAATCATATGTTATTTTTTGTTCTTTTTCACGCTGGACCGTGGACTTTCTTCATTATTTACACAGATCAGCTGGGAGGTGCTAACTGGCTTAGCCGCATATCTTCATAGTTTATTCCCCTGCACACATGCAGAGTATCCTACCTCCATTGTTTTTGTAAACATACAAGCATAAAACTAACAAGATTTTTAATCAAACTTTAAAAAGTGGATTAAAGTTCCTGCTGTTGATTCATGCAATATACCATGGACGAAATTTTGATTTCAGAAGTGGGGGGAAGCACGTATTACGGTATCTATCTTATATATAAGTTCAGCATGTTTTCTAGTTTGTTTCCTCCATTTCTCTTGCATCTACCAGAAAGCAGAGAGGCTTGTGATCCCATAGTTCTAATTACAGTAGTGCGTAGGACTTCAGCAGCGCTGTGAACATCCAGTCAAAGCCCCAATTCATTGGTGCATCAAATGTTGGCAAAGTGAGCTTCTCAGGAGCAGCAGTGGTGACAGCAAATCACACGAGAAAACATGGAGGGCCAAGCAGGAGCTACTCTGGAAGTGTTCTTCAGCGTGAGCTGCGTTTTTTTCGCTTGGTCCCAGTGCTCAATGAGGTTTGGTGTACTGTAGCGCAACATTGTTTTTGAACAGGGATTGCCTACGAGTCAATGAGTCAATGCAATCAACTGGTTTTCCTTAGATAGAAAACTTTGAATCAATGTCATTGTATGATCTGGTGAACTGTAAAGTACCTTAAGATGATGTGTTGTGAATTGCCGCTATATAAATAAACTGAATTTAACTGACAGTAAAAAGTGCAGGGGACCAAAACTCATTTTGAAAAAGTTCAGGCCGACCCCAAAAATTATATAACTTCCACGCAATATGCAAAAATGGTGGAAGTTGTTAGAGTCAAAGCATTTGAATGAAAACATGAATCTCTCTCTTGATTGATGATAGAGAGAAAATCTCATTTCAATGTTACATACGCATTTTCTTCGGGTTAGCAGTCATTATGATGTCATTACAGAAACTTTCCCCATCCCTAGATTATACAAAACATTAAAAGAAGGAAGACATCTTTAAAGGTTTGTTCAGGTACCTTAAAGATTCGGAAAGCACTCATCCAACAGGTCCGGCTTTGTTCGTCCTCTGCACACAGCATCCTCAGCTCCTTCATTTCTCCCCTGGCTTTATTGGGCTGCCAATCATAATAGGTGCAGTCAGTAATGTGATCAGGCTCATGGAATGGTGTGTCCCCGTTTCTAGCACAAGCGTCTTCAGTTTTTATCAACTTTATTCATTAAACATGAATATGGGGAAAAATATTTTCAAAATGTATTCAAAATTATATGCATGTTGGCAATTCTCTGCTGAGACATGGTTTAAATTCTTAATCAGATAAAAATATTTCATCTATTCAGTTTGTCGTAATGAGATGATCCCAGCAGACTCACTTTGATACAGAAGGTGAAGTCTGTGGGTGCACCGTGCTGCTTTTTGGCTGTGATGACAGTGAAGATGCTGCTGTCCTCCAGGTCTGCTAGTAACTGTAAATGTCTGGGCTCCTGCAGAATGAAAAAAAAAAATCAAAAGTCAATGCATGGAAGCGAGAAGCAGCCTGAGCCCCCAATAAACCCACCGAGATAATCTGCATTTTACCTTTGAGGTTCCTTTTGTAGAACAGTAGAGTCCTGAGCGGCGGAGGAACATGTAAACCTTCTTCCAAGACTTCCTTCCCACCTCTTTCATGTACAAATGACCCTGGATCTCTGGGCAGGTGCTTGGTGAAAGGAAGTTCTGAGGGAGGAAAAAGGAAGATTTTAATATGACTGCACATTTACAATTAGTAAGAGAAGTAGAAAACAACTTAAAGGCTATATAACAATACATGTATCCAAAAATATTAGGTACTTTAAAAAAAGAATGTCGTAAGATGATGGGTTTTAAAGAATGACATCAAAATGTGAAAAAGAAGAAGGATCATAGGGTGCTCAATGAGAATGTTTTGTCACTGACTTTGTGTAGATGTGATGTTGAGAGTAAGATACATGGTGAGCAGAAAATAGCAGTAACAGTAAAAGTTTCAAAAATGTTTAACAGAATGGTGTAAACCATGTTGTGACACTGTTATAAAGTCTAATAACAGGAAATGTCTGTTTTCTCTGGATGTATGAAATCTAGAGACCATACTGTACAGGAAGACTGCCCCTCCCCAACCCATTTCTGTGCACTGTGTATATATTTTGTTTGGTGAAATAATTTTTTAGTAAAAATAATTTAAAAAAACAATAACAATAAAGCATAAAAAAAACACTTGTAGAGTCTTGATGTTTTAAAACTTCAATCACAGGTAGAATGTGGAAAGCAGGCCACTATAGGCTGCGCTTGAGCAACTCATTAACCAGCAGATTATATCAGTTTGTTATATTCTGCTGCTCTAAAAGAAGAGTATAATGGTAAAAGAAACAAATAAAAAAGTGTAATATTCTGTTCAGCAAAGCTACAATTTCCAAGAGTCTATTTTTGCATTTGTTCATGTACATATCATTATAAAAGGTAGCCCAAATTAATTTTAAAAATGACTTTTTAGGTAAATACTGTGAAAATGTAATAGTTTTTTTTTTTTCAAACTGAAAGGTACTATACAGTAAGCCTTGAGCCGTCCTCCCTTAGCTTTCTGCAATGCTGAGTGCTGACTGATTTCTCTGGGGCCCTTCTTCATGACAGCTGAATCTGCTCTGCTGTCATCCTAATACCAGAGGGGTGAACTGGATTATCTATTGAGCAGAGCAGTTACTTAGAGACATCCCGTCTCGCTCTGACCCAAATATTTATAGGATGCTTCTAATTATTTAGTTGGCTCTCAGAATACATTTACTGGTACTGGTTACATCTTCGACACAGATGATGCTCCCATAGGAGACCAAAGAAACTACCAACCACACACTGGTAGGTTGCTACACACCACATGCTAAGCCTGTTTGAGAAACTATGCATCACTTTGTGTTGGTCAATCAGATTTGATCCCAATTTTATTGTTAAAGCACAGGACAAGTCTTGAGATCAATCTAAAGAAATTTTATGTGGGATCTGTCTTTGTGATTATCAGTGAAATTGGTGGGAATTCGACGAGACCACACTGCAAAAAATCTAAATCTAGATAAGTTATTTTTTCTTAAAATAAGTGCACTTGTTCTTGAATTGAGGAGGTAAAAGATACATTTTGCCAATGGAACAAGACAATTTACACTTAAAATAAGAAAACAGAACTGCATTGTCTTATTTCAAGTGCATATTATCTAATTATCTTATTTCAAGAGTAAAATTACTCATTCCATTGGCAAACGATCTCATTTACCTACTCAAATTAAGGGTGAATACACTTAATTTAAGAAATTTTTACTTATTTCTAGATCGTTTTTGCAGTGCAGATGGTAAAGCAGGGTAAGTTAATAAATAAAGTGACAGCTTGAGCTAATAATTCTGATTTGGAGCTGAAAAAGACAAACTGTTCCAGAAGTCTCTTCATTATTTGGAGCATATGTTTTCCAGTGTTTTGGAAAAAGAATATCATCATGGATCTCATGCATTTTCCAACACTCACAGAGCACACGTTCACACGCAACCATATCTCAAACAGCTTTCCTTTGGAGCCACGGCACCTTCATGCGCTCCACTTCGCACTGACAAATGTTTCTTGTGTAATCTGGATTATTACAACCACCTGGATGAGCTCAGTTCAGAGAGCGTCTCGCTTTGTGCTGCACTCTAATTGAGCCAGAAGATCATGGATTTAGCAGAAGTCAAAGGAAATTCCTGACACAGCTCCAGCTCATACCAATCGCTAATATATGTCGCACGCCAAGTCTCCATAATCAGAAGGAGGGCTAACAGCTTTATGTGAGTGAAGAGGAACAGAAGGATCTGTTTCTGACAGATCCAGGCAGCGCATAAACCTACAGTTTTTGAAACCAAAGTTCCTCAAATTCCAAAGAATAAGAGAGAGATAAAAGCAGTTCTTTCACACATACCTGTGCTGTGAAAATGTCCCATTAAGTAAGGAACTGCTTATTAAAAATGTAAAGTCTGTCAGGCAGTCAAAACTTTTGTTAATCTGTGGCTGCAAAGTCTATTCTCTCTCCCAGATTGCACATTAAAATAACTTGAAGCCAGGTTAATAAGGAAGAGTGTGAACAGGAACAGCTTCAATTGCATTCAGGATTGCATTTCATTTTTTTTTATGCGAATGGACCTCCACACAAAACAAATCTTTTACAGCCTCGTTTACTCTGCCCTGTCTTTAGCATCATCCAACTTCTACAAGAAAGCCTCCCCACAGCATCATGCTTCCATCAACATGTTTTACAGTTTGTGTGTGTGTGTGTGTGTGTGTGTGTGTGGGGGGGGGGGGGGGGGGGGGGGGGGTTTCCCCAACATTTATCTTTTTTTGGTAAAAAAAAAACATACATTCCTGTTTCATTGGGGTCACATCACCTTTTTTTCCTCCATTTTTTATACTTTAAATATTGCTTTTTTATGCTAACTTCCATCTAGCCACACTGTGCATGGCTATTCAGTTGTTTGTTGGTTGTTTCTGTTAAGATTTTTTCAAAAATCTTATATGTTTTTGTTTTAAACTCAAATTAAACTCAAGTTTTATTTTATCTTTTTAAAGTAACTTACACATAAAGCTGACTGGATATATTTTTAGCTCCTCCATGGTTACGATGGACTTCTTTGCAGCTTATTTTTAGCTATATGTCCATGTATTGTTTATGTGTATTTAATTTGCAGGTGTGTTGCACTCTTCCCATGTTTAGAAAATGGATTATGCAATAAGATGTTTAAAGCTTTATATACTATTTGAGAAACCTAAAGCTGCCTTTAAGCTGCTCCCTGACCTTCACTCTAACCTGTCTACTGTGTGTGTTTATGATGTTGTTCTTTTTACTATTATTCCCCAAAAAGCCTCTGATGCCCCTACAGAACTCCTGCAAATAATTTGCATTGATTTAGAACACACATTTTAATAAAAAAAAAAACGAGGAAAGGTTTAAGGATATCATAGCAAGGCAGGGTATACTTTGTGCTTCAAATGGCCTGATTGCATCCATCACAGGTGGTTTGGCTGCGGTGTATCGAGACAGTCATGTGTCAACAGAGGATCAACAGTAGTTATTACTGCTGGCTCTGACAAGACATGCTGTCTAAGGGTCAGGGGTGAGGTGTGTCAGCGTGATTGTACAGTACGCAGCAGGTGGTGACTCTGAGCTAAACGAAACTGTGTGCGTGTCAGGAGGAGGAGTGACAGTCAACGACAGACCAAATGTTCCTACCTGAAGGAGCTGAGATGGTGGAATTGTATGATTGCTTTCCTGGCACCACGCTACCATGTGCTCTGGGAAAAATGTCTGGTGGAGGAGGAAGAAGTGGACATGTCAGAGAAATTATAGGGCGGAGGTGTTGTGACAGCAAAAGACGTCACACAAATGTCATGAGTTTAGCCAACTGTCATAATGTTTCACATAAGCAACAAAAGAGAGTTTCAGAAGAAACAGAACCTGTCACAACAGGTCGCACTATGCAGGAGATGAATACAATTGCATCAGATTTCTGGGACATGCTCCGGTTTAATAAGGAACCCGTTGAACTCTGCAGTCCCAGGACTCTTTAAAAAGGTTTTTTCTTTTACATATTTCAACATGAATAGGTCAACAGTGATGATGCAACTTAAATACTATGTTAAAAGAGAGGGGGGGGGGGGGGACTAACCAGGGGGTTTCTGAAGAATTCATATTTGGCATAGTTCTTCCTGAAGAGGAATCGGCTGTCGCTGCTCATGGAGGCCTGGACCTGAACCACCAGCTCATGGTCTTCCAGGCAACGCTCTGCAACGAAAAATAAAAAGGCCCTAATTTACTTTTCAGCTACTTATATTAGTTTGGTATAAACCACATCATAAAAAGTAGAAAAACGTGTTCATGTAAACATAAAAAAAATAATTTCATATTTATCTGTATTATTTATTTTTATATAGTTAAGAACTGTTTAGATTTTACAGAAAGTCCCCAGGTTTCTTATCAGACAGAAAGAGAAACTCTGAGGAAAACGACATAATAAAAGTGAAAGAAAAAGCACAAACCCTCACTGTTAGCTGTTCTAAATTTGGAATTCTGGGAGCTTTAATTTCCTATAAAAAACATTCCAGTAGCATGCGATTCCCCCACCTGTTCCAAATGCAAATCAAGCTTTTTTTTTTTTCCTCACAGTCCGCGCCTTGTTAGTTCTTGTTTAGAAATTCAGCGACTATGTTGCAGCATTTCTCGTTTGCACATTAATAGAACCGAAGTGTTATGAATGAATAAATAAACAGGGTAATCACACTCTACTCCTTATCATAGCTCCTTTTAGGTAATAATGTGGTGAACTGCTGCCCACAGGGGTCACATTCAATCCAAATAAAACCAGAATATTTACTTATTCAGTGATCTTATATCAAAGACCTTCATCCAACAAACTGTGACTGCTAATATAGAAACGGAAACTTCATAATTAAGGTTAAAATAAAGCTGTGATTCAGATCAAAGTCTGATCTTGCACATTTAGTCATAACAGAGGTGAATATTTGATCTATTAATTTTTTGGCAATGAAACTGAAACTGAGACACAAAGTTTTAACAGTTTTTCCAGTTCTGTCATCGTTTTTAATTCAGTGCTAAATGTGGCCTGGGGTGCAATTTCAGCCAAAGTAAGGGCAAAAAAAAAAAAGAAGAAAAAGGGGCAAAAAGTATCGAATGATCTTTTAGACAGTTATACATCCATCCTTTGAATAAAAAAAAAAACTTCATATCCGTTTTTCTAGAAGAGAAAACTGTAAACTTGACAGTAATTCATTCTTTTGTATTTGGGTTAATTTTGGGTATTTATTTTCTAAATTTTTCGATTTTAACTCAGAGAAGAAAAAAGTAAATATTTGGTCAGTTTGGCCTGAAGAAATAAAAGTTTAGACAAAACCTATTCATTAAACAGTGCGATTTATCCTCAAGTGTAAGGAAAAGAAGTAAAGTACCAGGTGTCCTAATGTTCCAATGTGTCCCCTCCTGTTCGTGCCCTTTGTCACGATCTCTGTACACTGTCACGACTAATTCCTTTCCTTCCATTTCAGCCTGTCGCCCCATGAGTCAGTCATGTTTGCAGCTGTGACTCACCCTGGCAGCTCCAACTCCCTCTGCCATAGTTGTTAACCTTTTTTAATCTGACAAGTAGAGGTCAATGTTACTTATCCCAAAGGGCCATTCCGCCCTATTCAACTGCATACCAGAAGTGGGCTGCAACACAGAGGAACAAGGCTCTTTTTTCAAAGTGCGTACTATCCCTTTATTCTTATTTAACCTATTATTCAATAGGAAAGCCATGATCAAAAAGATGGGCATATGTTCAGGGCCAGCTTATTGTTTGAATGCATTCACTACATCACATAGAGAAGCTGGAGTGTGTGTGTTAGGGCATCTGACATCCATTCATCGAGGATAAAATAAGAAATTCCAAAGTGTGGCTTCTTGGACTATGAAGGGTGCTGCGCATTAAACCGGAAACTACACCTAGAGGCTGCAGACCAAGTGGTGTTAACTTAAAAACTTAAGAGAACTACGAAAAAAAGGATGACAAAAATAATCACACTTGCTGCAGACTTTTTTTTTTCTTGTTGAGCGTCATGCAGAACGGCTTTAACAAAGGGTAAATGCGCCACTGCTTCATTATATGTCATTAACAGAAACCTCTAAACACTGAATGAGATAAGCAGCTATTCTGGACGAGAAAAGAATACAGTCGCAGAACAGGTGCTTTATAACACAATAAGGACTATAATAGAACCACGAGACACTGAGCCAAAAAATGATGTCATTCACGAGAAGCCAACCCTGTCTGACAGCGCTGGGCTGGCAGCAGCCATGAGAAAAGTAAGCAGATCATGATGGATGGTGAAATATTAGGTTAGAGCTTTGGGAGCCAATCTTTGAATAATGCAATATATTTTCGAAGAGTTTCCTCGCCTGACAAGCGCTGCACACAGAAGCAGCAGAAACGAAATGCTCTTTTGTTTTTTTACCACCAAGTCACTTTAGGCAATATGTTTCACTCCTAGAAACAGCTCTATTTAAAATTACACCCTTTCTTTCCAACATCTGGTGCAGACATGAACGGAGGGCACGGGCTCTGCTTGTCCCCCATAAGTGTTTTATAATTGCCCTCCCCTCAAGGGGAGGCTTGGATTCTAACATTAAGTGTTCTCAAACGTTTTGGGAATTATTTCAAATAGCTAAATCAAACATAAATCTGTCCTGAGAAAAGTATACTTAGAAGAAAGAATGATCTTCAACTGTTGTCTCCTCTCGGCCCCCTTTCAAGACGAGTCTTTTTTGTGCTACCTTCTCTCTGAAGGAGTAAGGGCTTCTATTTTCAGGCTTCAGTGCTGAACTAAAGAAACCTCTAATGTGAAAGAAAGGTTTTAAACCTGTCATCAATCATCACCTTGCTGGCGTGTCAATTACAGTGCTAGAGCTATAATGTTACATATACTCTGACACTGAGAGGGGAAAGTCAAGAAAGGTTTTGTTACATCCCTAGTCACATCTTCTGAGCTGAAACCATCAATTATAACTCTTTTGTACCTCACCAACTTATAATGGTGAGAAAGGAGAGAATTAACTGCACTGCCATAAATACAAGGTTGCACTTTTTCAAACTAATGTTAGAACAGGTTAATAAGAGTTAAATCTCCTAACGTGTGGATCTTCTACAAGCGGCTCTTTACTAAAAAAAAGATTACATCTATTTCAGTTAACTCAAAACAATGACTTTTACACAGTTATAAAGGGTATTAAGTATGGACTCTTAAGGGTAATTATGTCTAAAATAAATAATTCCCACGCAATAATTTAAAAGCAAAACATCAAGCAATCATTTTTGGTGACTAAACAGATCTGACCACTTTGATTCAAAATTAGCTCAGCTAGACGTTAGTTTTTCACATTTTTGTGTGTGTGCACAGCTCAGTTTAAATCAACTAGAAATCACTCTAAAGCATTTGAGCAAATTACAAAGAGCAAGACCATTTTAAAAATGTTAGAAATTAAACTTTCTCACTAAATTTTAGCTATACAATTTACATAAAATATCTTATGGAAAAGCACCAAACAATCAAACTTCCCTCTAGTTGGTTCAGGTAAGTGTCTTTAAATCTGCATTTTTTTTTGTCTATATATCAAATGAATTACACATTGAAATCTCCAGCATTATCAGGGTATCAAAAATGGATATATTTGCACTTTATGCATCTCCTGAGAGGGATGAGTTGACAAAACCTTGTATTTAACGCGTAATAACTGTGTTCCTGTTTTATTTTCACGCAGCGGTTTGTCTTTTCATGGTTTTATTTAAAGAATAAGAAAAACAGTCATCAACCGAATTTAAAAAGCAGCTGGTTCCACATGAAGTAAAAACTAAAAATGGTCATCATTCTCTAATTGATCCCAAACTTTAATATTACAAGCCCAACTTGGGTTTGTAATATTACATTTTTTCTTATATTTAATTAAAACACACTCTTTTTTTAACTAGTATATAATAAATATTAGTCCAAATTTATTACAGCTCATGCAGTGTGCTTTGCTTAAAATAATGTGCTCTAAAATAAAGAGAATAAAGCATATCTGAGCTACGTTAACTTTACTCTCTCTGCAACCTTTTACATTTCCCATATGTTGCCCTTGATTAGATTACTGGACATTATAGCTCTATGCACTTATGCTATATAATATGGTAATGCTACCATGCGTTAACCACTGCATGTGTGAGAGCATGCGCATATACAGCCGATCCAAGTATGCAGCCATATTCTATGCATGAATGTGGTGCAGAGAGAGGAATGCTCTTCTATACGTTAGTGATAACACTGCACATCTGCACCCACCCATGAGGGCTTGATCCCCGTTTCAGACGTCTTACCTAGTCCTAGCAGTGGGCGGTGTTCAACAAGTGCCCAACTGTTGTCATCCACACAGTGGCTTTTATAAACCAGAAGCTGGCACAGATCCCTGACCGTCATATCAGCTGGTATCTCCACAACTTTGGCGATGCCATCCTCACTGAAGATCTTCACAATCTGAAAAGAGAAAACAGAGAACCAAGTTATAATAAGTTGTAAAAATACACTTTTCCTGAGCTGGGTTTAAAAAAGGCTCCAAAAAAAACAAAAATCACAAACAAGGGTTCAAGACTATTAGACAAAAGAGTGTTTAATTTAGATTTTCAGTGAAATGACAAAAAATAAAATAAAATCTCAATTAAGAAATGCTGTGAAAACAAGGCAATCGGGGGGGAGAAGGCAAATTTCCTCCCCCTCCTACGCAAGCAAAAAAGATGTATCCATAACCTTTCATGAACTATAGCATACATTACACAGGCTTGTCATTATAACATACAATGGAAAAGAACAGATATTCAACATGTAGCAATTATGGTGTTAGAAATCACAGACAAGCTCCTCTAACAAGCCATCTTCTTACTGTTATACCGAGATAAATATACCATAGTATATAACCATAATCTCCTCTTTTATACACAAAGTCTAAATGACTATATTGGTTGTATATAAACAAACAATTACAGCCTCTAAATAAGACATATAGAAAGACTTAAAGAAAAAGCATCACTGTAGAGCCCTTTAAAATTTGTATTTTTTTATATGAACAAGCATCCACACACCTAATTCTAGTGATGCAAAACAAATGCATTCTTGTAGTTGATGTATCAATAGCCAACCGTCTGCATGAAAGTTACCCTCTTCAATACCAGACATCTAGCATTTCACACGTTCTTTTTTTCCTCCACATAATCCACCACATTCAACTGCAAGACATATTGTGGTTATGCTTCTAAATTTACTTTAATTACACGTCCCATGGTTATTTTTGAAAAGGATGACATGCAGTGACAAAATAGTCAAATGCAGTTGCATGAAGAAAACAAGAAAAGGGATGCAAATTAAACCAGGTTCATGAGCTCATACAAATATTCAAGCCTATAAGTGTTTTTATTCAGTGATATATATATATATATATATATATATATATATATATATATATATATATATATATATATATATATATATATATATATATATATATATATATATATATATATATATGTATATATATATATAAAAAATCTCTCCTTTTTCAAGTAAAGATCTATAAGCATCCCTATCTGTGCAAACTAAGCCGGGGGATGAGTCCTTTATAGAAAAAGGCCCAGTTGTCTTTCTTTTGTTGCTTTACTTACATCTTTGAAGGAAAAGTGAAAATGAGTAAAATAATGTGTCTATAAATGTATTGCCTCAGGTTATAAGAAACAGAAAGATAGAACAAAAAGAGATGGGGGTGCAGAGAGAGGCAGAGCCACCTAAAGAAAGAGAGAGAGAGGGAGAGGGGTCTTACCTCCACGGCCCGCAGCAGGCAGCAGTCCGGGGAACACGAAGGCATTTTAGGAGTGAGTCTGTCTCCGCAAACTTAAACGCAGCCCCCCTTACACTGAAAAAAAAGCTGTTTCTTTCCCCTCCAGAGAATCTGAATTGAAGCAGCTGACAGCTGAGCTGCCTGTGTTAGAGCTAATACCTTAGTGTATCCCAAGGCCACTTGCTGTATCAAGAAAGTGGGGGAGAAAAAAAACATGGAGCACAGAGGGCGCAGGCAGTAACAGTCAGTGGCTGGATGGCAGCAGGTACAGTGCAGAGCTCCCAGTGCCGGCTCAGTATGACAACTATCCCTCTTCCTCTCCTTCCTTCCTTCCCGTTCCCTCCCCCTCACAAAGGGTTACAGCCTCAGCCACGGGCTGCGAGGCGCACCGAATCAAACCATACACTCACCGACCAATCATAAAGCTCCAGCGGGCTGATGTAATCATTCCCACACCGACCTGAGCACACAGAGGCAGGCACACACACACACACACACACACACACCCCTGAGAGGCATGCACACTCCAGCAGACACACAGACGCACAGTCATGCACAGACACAGCCAACTTTTTCAGAGCCCCCTTCAAGCTCTCTGCCTTGGTTTCTTTTTAGACCTTGATGCATGAGGGATCATTTGAGAAGGGCGTGGGGCAGAGAGGAGCAGCTGGGGGAGGAAGGAAGGAAAGAGAGGGAAAGGCTTGTTGCTTCTCCTGCCTCCAAGTTTTTTAAGTGAAGAGTCATTAGCTTGTATGCTCTTCACCTTTTCTTATTCGCTCTCCGGTCCTCCCATTCTTCCCTTCCTGCAGTTTAACTTTGACTCAAAGCAAATAAAGGGTAACTAAAGAGGAAAGCACCACACACCCACTACATACATACTTCTTGAACTTCTCTGCATTTTCTCACACTGCACCTTCAAACCAGAAGGTATTTTCTAGGGATTTTATGTGATAGAGCAACTGAAAGTAGCATGGACATGTGAACTTAAAGAAAAATTATATGCTCTTTTAAATAAGGCTGGCAAGCAAAAATCTTAGGAGTGTGGAGTTCCTAGATATGCAAAAACCTTCATTAAGCTATCAATAAATACAGTCTAGGGTAGAAAAAAAGCACTTTGTTTCACCTTATTAGTCCATAGAGTATATAAATGTGTAAAATAATCAGTATTAATCCAGGTATTTCGGCAGAAAAGCCCAGAAACAACATAACGCTGCAAAAAATTTCAATCTAAAGCCTTTTTTGAAATTGGTGAGGTAAGAGAGACACTTTGCCAATGGAACAAGACAGATTATATATTTAAAATAAGAAAGAAAAAAAACAATTGCATTGCTTTATTTCAAATGCATATTATCTAATTATCTTACTTTACGAGTAAATATACTCATTCCAATTGCAAATTGTCATTTTTACATATTGAAATGAAGGGTAAATAAACTTAATGTAAGAAATGTTTACTTATATCTAGATCATTTTTGCAATGCATGAGCACCAAGGAACCCAACTGATAAATATAGAGCAGGGTGGCTAACAAATTAAACATCCCATGAGACATTGTTCTAACCACTATCTATTGAAAAGAGCAAGACGTACAGCAAATGTATGGAAGGAGGTGCTTTAAAAAAAAGGGACAACATTTCAAAACCTCTCTTTCTTTCTTTTTTGCCTGAACTATAAGCAAAAGTGAAATATCACACCTGGACACACCAATTGAATTTGAGCTGGATACAGAGCAATCTGAGAGGAAAACCTGCAACCGGAGAGAAAGCTCACTATCCAGTAAGATAAAAGAATATGATAGAGAAGAATAGCCCTTTATCCTCCAACAGTTGGGAAATAATAGGTGACTCAATGGCAGAATAAAAAGGCAATAAAAAACACAGGATCACAAAAGGCTACATGACAAAAATAAAAAAAGCAAAGGAAAATAACATCCCAAAAAGGACACCCTGGGGTTAGTAAAATAAAGTTATACTGAGAAAAAAAAATAAATATTCAAGATAAAAAGAAAAATATAGTTATATATATCCATATATATGTATATATACATATACAAAATCCATGGAATAATTCATATTCCATATAGATCTATATCTATATATACACACTGTATATATATATATATATACAGATCGATAGATCGATCGATCGATAGATAGATCTGTATATATATATATATACAGTGTGTATATATAGATATAGATCTATATGGAATATGAATTATTCCATGGATTTTGTATATGTATATATACATATATATGGATATATATAACTATATTTTTCTTTTTATCTTGAATATTTTTTTTTTTTTCTCAGTATAACATTATTTTACTAACCCCAGGGTGTCCTTTTTGGGATGTTATTTTCCTTTGCTTTTTTTATTTTTGTCATGTAGCCTTTTGTGATCCTGTGTTTTTTATTGCCTTTTTATTCTGCCATCGATAGATAGATAGATAGATAGATAGATAGATAGATAGATAGATAGATAGATAGATATATATATGTATATCTATACATATATCTCTCTCTCTCTCTATATATATATATATATATATATATATATATATATATATATATATATATATATATATATATATATATATATATATATATATATATATATATATATATATATGTGTATATCTATATATATGTATATCTATACATATGTATATCTATACATATATATATATATATATATATATATATATATATATATATATATATACATATATATATATATACATATATATATATATACATATATATATATATATATATATATATATACAGTATGCGTGGGTATGTAAATACACACATACATACATACATATATATACACATACACTTGAAAAAACACTTACTAAGCAGAACACCCTTGGGAACAGGGAAGAAAAAAAGGTCCAAAAGAAAATTGGACGAGGAATCTATGTTAGTGCTCCATGTGAACAAAGGGTGCAGAAGTCTTTCAATAAATTAACTGAACACATAAAATGGTTTAGATCAATGAATATCTAAGTTAAAAGTGCAGACTCAAATAATTTTAAGAGCTTGCAGCAAAGCCCGACGGTTGCTTTTGTTTGACACTGACCACTCAATGTGATTGATTAATTAGAGCCACTTTTTACGATAGGCATTTCAGCCTGTAGCTGGCAAAGCTGGCAGAAACCTCATCAAATGACAGCATTGATCACGTCATTAACATCTATTCCAAAACAAAACAAAACAATTAAAAAGCAAAAGTGGTGCACCAACCGCTTTTTAATTCTACCTCACAATTAGGTTCAAGTTTTTGTTGGCCACAGAAACTCAAATAAAATACAAAACCCATTGTTGTGATGTGGTAAAATGTGAACAAGATCTAAGGATTTTAAGTACTTTATCAAGGTCCTGTATGATTCCTTAAATCTGCAGCAGATGAAGTACTGGTGTGCCGCGTCTGGAGCAAACTTAGAGTGACTTGCTTCCTGTAGGCTTCTCAAGAAAAGGTGTGTGTATATGTGTGGATGACGACGGCTTGGAAAATTAGTGCAAAATAATAAGCAGTCATGAGATTCTGCTGAATTTCATTCAGTGGGAAGCTTTAGAGAGGGATAGGGGCAGAACCTGGAAGGCTCGAAAGCAAAAGCAGAGAATGCACAGGGGCACGTAT